AAGTAATTGGAACTTTGACCACTTGCAAATTTTTGTTTTTTTAAGCAGAAAATCAGAGTAGCATAACTGAGGCCTTTGAAGTCCCTGGTCTAAGAGTATAATGCAGAGAGAGGTATAAACTATCAGTCTTATTGAGGCAATTTTTCATCCTTATATAAATATATTATCTGAAATGTTAAAGAGAAAAAGCAAGCTGCCCCTTACTCTAAAGATACATACTTGACTCCAAATAGAATGGTTTACGAATATAGACACTATAGAAGGACATATATTTTTATGATTATGAAAACAGTTGTATTTGATATAAAACATATACACTAATTTTAAATCACCAAAGGAAAAAACACAAGAAAATCTTTTAACCTCGTGAAATGTTAAAGCTTTTATGATATGTATTTATTATATAATTTTAACATGAGCATACATATGAATATTTAATATTTTACTTACAAATATTATTTCCTCTTAGCAAAATACAGTAAAAGTGTAGGATATTTTAAGCCACCTCAGATGCATATGCTAACATGAACCATAAATGAAATTCCTGATTCCAGTCATTCTCCGTTTGGATCATATTTGCTGTATTAAGTTTTAAGAATTTTACTTGGACTGACTCGTAACATTATTTAAGTGCCATAAGGTGAAGCTATTTACATGCAAATGGCACTTGAATTTGTTAATTATTGCATTTTCAAATAATAAAATCAATACTGCCAAATAATTCAACAGATTGATTCATTAGAAATGCGTGGAAAAATATTTGTTGGTTTACAAAGTCATTCCCCAAAATCAATATAGCTTTCCACACTCCAGATTAACATTCACCCTTTTGCAAATGATCCTAATTACCATCTCATATCTAAGCATTGAAAGAGTAGCCTGTTTCAGATCAATATTTCATAAGAGATACCTTTAATGATGGTTATCCATATCACACAGCTTTTGTTTGTTAAGCTGACACAGAAAATTAGCTCTGCTTTTTCTTATAATTTGCATGTACATATGAACCAGATGGCATTAAGAATCAGATAAAAAAAAATAAACTTATGCCAGGGAAATTGAGATTGTTTAAAACAGCATATCGTCTCAAAGATTTAAAAAAAAAAAAAAAACCCTGATGGTTAAATCGTTTTCTTATACTCCTTGCATAATCTGTCTAATGCATTTATTTCCATCTACCTTTATTGAGAATCTGTCCATTCAATTAAGCTATGGAAATGTAGGGCAAATGAGTCTTCATTCAGGGAGCTAATAAGCCCACTAAGTCATGAACAGTACATCAGAAGAGCTGCAGTTTTTCACTTTTCTTACACACCTGGGAGGCATTAAACAATTTTTGCTCCAAAGGGAACTTTTTTCCTGTCCACTGGAAATACTTTTCTTCCACAGACTCTAAATAATGAGACACTTTAAGGTAACAGTGTGTTGAGGGACTTGTGGAACAGAAGTACATCACAGGATGTATGCCATTAGAAACCCAAGCTTATTACTTTGATGTGCCAAACGATGCCACAATTCAAATTCACAATTCTTAAAGCTCTGTCTGTTTGGCACAAAATGAGGGAAGCAAGTGACAAATAAAGCATTCTGATATAGCTTTGCTATCTCCACATTGAGGCCCATGTGAAGCAGAAATTTGCCTCCTTTACAAAATTCCTTTGAGACACTTACTTTGGCAAAAATTCACAGGGAGATTATAAATATGTCTTTATTACACGAGATGCTGGCTGTTATGGCAGATTAAATACAGTTACAAAAAAGGTATTCTGCCACTGGATAGAAATAACATGAACTGGTGAATGAGGAAAAATAAGAGATGAAAATGAATAGCAAAGTCATTCCATATTACACAATAATCAAATTGGGAAATAAATTCCAATATGTGTTCATATAGTATAGCCTCTATTTCAAAACCTACTATAAAAACTGAAGAAAATGTGGAAATCTTTTAATATTTCTAGATTATTTTCAAACTGGTTAAATTAACATTTTGCTACATTTATCAACTATTTCAAATAAAAATCAATTATAGTTCAGAGAAGCTGAGAAAAAATGTGCAAATGTGCATGTAAGTTAAAAAAATAAACAAATTTAGTATGAACTATGTTAATTTGGACCACCAAAAAGCCCTTTGCTAATGAAACTTGATTTTTATGGTACTATTTGAGCTGATAATTATGCATAATTTTGAGAATCTAACATTCTTTTAAAATGAAGTATCTGGTAGGTGTGGAAGCATTGCATGAATACTTAATGGTTGGCTCTGTTTATTTGTATGAGGAACTGCTTAGCTACTGAGGGGACTGCAAAAAGAAGGCCAGCTGAAAATCAAACATGTGACTTTGCTCTCTAAATATGTCACCGTTCTGATTTCTTTTGAGATGTTGGTCAGAGTAGTCCAAGAGACTCCCAAAATAACACAGGCTATTACATAGGCCTGGTTATATCCCAGAACTTGAAGTTAAGATCCTATTGATGAATACAGGCCACAGTTTAGACATAGGACTTGGTATAACTGAGCTGGAATGGCCTTGAAACCTCCTCCTTGAAGACTAGCTCTCATGGTATCAAGGGATAATATATAAGCTGCCAAAAGAGAAAACAAGCAATGGTCTTAATCAGGTATAAAGCCTAATAAACAATAATTACTGGCCCTACAAACTACCTCTATTGGTCCAGTAGTAACACTTTTATCTTGATGTAATCAACAGCTTTCTGATTAGAATTAAGGCCTTATCAATGGGAAGGAACTATTGTGTGGTACTAAAACCATAGCCAAATAGACGTGAATAGAGGCCATAGATCTTAGAGAAAAAACTACTTTTGCCACATCTCTAGCCATCAATGTAACTTCCCACTTTAAATATGCACCCTAATATTTACAGACAAATGTACCTTTCACTCCTCATACAAAAGCTTCTTTTTCCAACAGATGGAGACTATCACAGAATCCCATAACTCGTCAAACGCAGAGAACAAATGTCTGGGAGATGCTTAACCCTGAGTGACATATATTCAGTGCAATCTCTCTATATATGACAAATGCATATCTCAATTCTCACCAGAGAAGTTTCTATATGCAACAGATGGTCATCAACACAGAAATCCACAACTGGTCAATAAGCAGAGAACAAGAGGCCACAGAGTTCTTTTCCTGAATAGGGCGCCAATTTCAAACTTCTTCCTCCCAAGACTCAGAGATCATTGCAGAAGATTGTAAGAGCCAGAGGGGGCAGATGACCACAATGAAACAGAGTCATCTAGTCAGTCAATTATTTACTTAAACGAACTCAATGCAATGGTGACAGCATATACAAGTTCTATGCAAACTCAAACCAGACAAAATCAAAGCATAGATATGGATAAGTGGGTGAGAAATCCCAACCCAACATAAGGAACTTTTGGCAATTAATTATCTTCTGGAAGGAGGGAAAGACAGTGTTGTAGAAGTATGGGACTCTTGGTGGTCAAGTGGATGGACCCACACTAAAGAATATTTAGGGACACAATCAGACTCTATAGGTTGTATTATATATGGAAGACAGTGCATTAAATTGGGCAAGGAGCAGGGGTTTTCAGCTAGGGCAGGGGGTCGAAATACCACCAAACTATGCTGTATGAAAATCGCAAACATTCAATAAAAATATCAAATGAAAAAAGTTATTAATAAAACTCACTGCTGATCATCAAAAACACTGTTAAAACTAGAAAATGCTAACTGAAATATGAAAAGTCACTTTCGTTTTTTAGGTAACTCACCTTCTCTAATTACTAACACTTTCAGTGTTATTCCATCATCATTAAATGTGGACAAGGAGGCCAATATAAGAAATGTCTTCTACTTCTCTTTCAATTTCTGTTATCCCTTATTTGGTGTCAAAGGATGTCAGAGTAAGAGTAAAAGTCTGTCCCACATTGTCTGTTTAGAATATGTTCAAAGCTTGTGGCTCTTCATCCTTCTTACTTCTTTCAGTTCTCACTCTGTAGACAGTCTTCTCATACACACAAGTAAAGAAGTGAGCTGTATGTAATAGCATGTTTCATGTCATATTTATACTTTTCTTAACCCCAAGAGTTCATCTTATGTTTGTAAAACCTTGTAGTTTTAAAAAATCAGTTTACTCCTAAAATTGGAGATGGAATTTTCTCAGTTTAATGTTTTAAAAATGAATATTTTATTTTATATGCAAAAAGTTCTCAGCATTGTTCAAAGTATTTCAAACACCAAATGAGTTTTATATGGAGTATGTCCAATCCTTGATCCAGGCATAATAAACAACAGAAACACCAAAGTACCTGAAGTGCTTAGCATCAGAACCCAAAGAAAATTCCTACTTTTTCTATGTCTACATTGCTGAAATAGTCTGACTTAAATTAATTAATAATGACTTTTTATTTACTATTCATTTTCTTCCTATTCTAGAGCACTTCCCATAAAAAGGAATTTTTTAGTGAGAGGATCTTTTATTAGACATCAACATATAGTCTGTGTCACGCTATTCAGCTCTACCACGGTTTAGCATGAAAGCAATCATACAGAATAGCTAGACAAATGTGCTCCAATGATGCTTGAATTCATCTGCTTTTCATACCTCACATGTTCAATCAGTTTTCAAATGTAGAAATATACTGTCTCATGAGGTAATAAAAACAGGTGGCTGTAGAGATTTGGCCAATGAGCTATGCTTATGGATCCCTTTTTTTTTTTTTTTTTTTCCAGCATAGAGCTTCTCATCAGGTGACAAAAGAATGTCCACAGCTTTGTGGCAGGATGGCAACAGGATTACTGACACTGCTTCGGTAGCCAAGGCAGAACACAGTTAAGGATGGCTTCAAGCTGCAGGGGTTGCATGAAAGGTGCCTCGGTTGACCTGACCAGAAGGACCTCAGTGAAGCTGCCAGAAGAGTGTGCCTCTGAGTCCTGAAAGCTCTTTGCAGAAGCAGGGACAGTGACAGTCAGGGTCACCGAGTCTGTACATGGGCAGCAACAGGACTGAATGTCACAGTCGCAGGCTGCCACTGCTGCTGCTGTTTGTGTCCAGGGCAGGAGGGACAGCTAACTTCAGGCCTTTGGGTTCCAGCTCCCTCCTCGCACTCATTCTCCTTTTGTACGTTTTCAGCAGGATCAGAACCACTGTGACAATGATGATGACAACCATGACGATGGCAGCCAGGATGGCTGCAGAACTCTTATCTAGGACGTCTTCTCCCCTGGTCATCTTCAACAAGAAGCCCGCATCCCCCGAAATGGTGGCTGTGGTCAACTCGATCCTTTGTTACTTGCTGTGGGATTGTGAGCAAGTTCTCTTGTTCCGTCCAGCCTGCCGTTTTTTCTTCTAGAAAATGATCAGTGGGCACCCAGTGAGTTCCCTCTCAGCCTCCTTCTACCTTGGGACTTCAGGCCTCTGCTGTGGTTCAGGACGTGGCCCCTCACCCTCTCCAGGCTAGATTGCCTCCCACACCGTTTATTCCTAAAGGAGCACCCTCCTCTTTCCTCCCAAGCTAGGGCCTGGCAGAGCTGGACAGCGAAGAGAACAGGGAGAGACCAACCCCAGTCACCCATGGTGAGTGCTGGCCAATGCCCAGCCACAACAGCCTCGAGATACAGCAGGACATTTGTCTGGGGACCCGCAGACTCATGTAAACCTGTGCTCTGTTCCTGGCAAGTCACCCTTTTTCCTCCCCATTCTCTCTGCCTGCAGTGCCAGCCCCCAGCTTGGATCTGAGGTGGGATGGGAATGCTGCACAGAACCCTCCATGGGGCTGGGAGCCTGGGCAAGGAAAGGGGTGGGAAGAAAGCTAGGGAGCCATCTGTGCAGGGTGCAGCAGTGAGGGTTATGGTGAGGACAGTGGGAGACAGGAAAGGCTCTGGATGCGGCCAGAGTCAGCCGAAAGGGTAAGGGGCTGGTTCCTGATGCCCTCACTGCCTAGTCAAGGGACTGTGGACATAAAACTTCCTTCTGTCCAGGCCTTGGTCTCCTTAACTGTACAATGGGATGATTGTCTTGCCTTCAGGCTATGAGGACTCTATCAAATAAAGTAACTTTGTGACTGTCCAGTGGGGTACAATAAAGAAGGCCAAGTTTGGGCTGATGTGGACCTAGGTCCAAATTTCATCTGTCAGGCTGGGTGTGCAGCTCAGTGGGTAGAATGCTTGCCTGGCATACATGAGGCCCTGGGTTGACCCTATGCATAGTGGTGTACACCTGTAATCCCTATACTTGGGAGGTGGATGTTGAAGAGGCAGGAATTTAAAGTCATTCTTGGTTAAACAGCAAGTTTGAGGCCAGCCTGGGCTACATGAGATCCGTGTGTCAACAAAAAATTTTATCTCAGAAAAACAGAGTAAGGCTGTCTACATGTATGTACACTATGTGCAATGCCCAAAGAGTCCATAAGAGGGCATTGGATCACCTGGAACTGGAGTTATGGTTAATTGCCATGCGGGTGCTTGGAACTGAACCTGTGTCCTTTTAAATGGACATGGGGGAAATATACGCAGTGTGTCTTACAAGAGAGGAAGAATATATAGACAGAATAGGCTACATATTTCTATAAGAAGTGGAAAGTTACAAGAATTAGAGAATGCACGAATAAAGTTATATAATGAATCATTTTTACCCATAAATCTGATAGCCAAATTTAATGGAATATTTTAATAATGTAAAAAGTAAATTATATTTTAAAAAAAGTCTTATGTACACTCATATGTCAGTAGCTATTAGGGGAGCTACTAGGTGATTCCAAATTAAAACCAGAATCATATCTACATAAAATGACTTATATCAAAGTGAGTGACAGATTCTG